AAATATCTTTCGACGTGATATATGAGGAGGAGTTTAATTTAGAGAGTAGTAGGAGCAGGAGGAGCCATTAATAAATATATCTTTCAATTTCCTCTACCACAACCATGCCACCTGCTCTAAACACAGTCGTTGATACTATAGTCAACATTGAATGTGTTAATGGATCACGTGTCGTCAAAAATAATATCGAATATTGTTATTCATTTGTTCGCTACCATCCGAAAAGTTCAAACTAATTTATTTATTCTCCGTTTAATACACTAAAAATAAGGTCTGAAAAATATCTAATTAACTCTACAAGGATTTTAATTTGTCTGGTAAATATGATGTACTTCTTGTCGTACTTAAGTAAGTCATACATTGTCATTAGGAAAAGAAAAAAAATGTAGAAAGCGGTTGTGGAGAATCACTATTTCTATCGTATTAGACAATATATCAAGGATATAAATTGCAAAGTATTTTCTATATCACAAGGTGTAATAGGGATATCGAATGTTAAATATTTTTTTTTTCCAATAATATTATTACAACCTTATAAATAAATACGAGGATCCATAACTGCAGCTAGAACGAATAATATGAGCAAATCCTCCCAAAAAATTTCGGAATTTCATCTTCATGGTAGCAATAATATCATCAAAAAATGTACAATTAATTATATTTACTATTTTTATTTTTTTTTTGAAATATTAAAAATATGAGTTAAAACAATAGGAGCAATGTGATAGTAGACGCTCGGCCATGCATTTGTCGCATTAAATAATCAGTCATTAAAATTTAAATCATAATCAGAACCATATGAATGCCTACCATTTTAAAAATTAGTAATAATCATATCATGATTAACACAAAATTACAGCATGAGATATGTTGAATTCCATCTATTACCTATATTCGTTGCAAACGTCGTGTCGGTAAGTTAGAATTACCACATACACGCGCAAATCCTTGTATCCGACATCAAGAGACAAAAATAAAATCAATGGCGAGTATAATTTTTGTCAATTGTGGTGTAATATGATAAAGACCATCTTGCACAATCAAATTAAAAATATGACAAACACAACGAGTATGGAAAGCTTCACATCAAAATTAGGAAGTCGTTAATCAAATTATTGTTAATATTAGCATTTTCAAACGTAAAACTATGGATTTTAACTTCACAACAAAATTTTCTAAGTACGTCCATTAAATATTGAAAACATTTTGTGTATTTGTGGTAATTCCATGACCTTAAATGCAATACTTTTTTATGCATGATCTAAAACTTGTCAATGCAATGGACTGTGGCACAAATATATCTTTTATGATTTTTCTTGGATCACCGATTGAAAGTTTCATTAGCCATAATACAAAAAGAATTTTCGTAATGTCTATTGTATGAATAATGCCAATTTTTTGTTTTCAAGTGAGGTTCTTTTCAAAGCGATTATATATGCTTTTGTAATTTGCTCTCCNTTTTTGTTTTCAAGTGAAGTTCTTTACAAAGTGATTATATATGCTTTTGTAATTTGCTCTCCATTCTTAATCGTATTCTTCTTAGTAAAGTGTTTCAAACCTTCAGAAGTAAGTTTACGAGTTTCTACTTCTTTCATCTCTTTGTAGAGATCGCTTCTCCCAAATCGTCGATAGGCTCAATTATTATCGATTTTATAATATCGACATTTTCCAGATTTGGAACATCGAATGCTTGAGAAAAATTGTAGACATAAAGCATTTGAACTACTAACAAATTAGTTAACATTCCATCGTGGTTCGTGAATCTAGTATAATTCATAACGAACTTCGTAGAAAATTTAAGAATAAAAAATGGAAATATTGATACAATGAAAGTTGGAATTGAAGAAATATATAGAAACAAAGGTACACTCTATACTAATTGTGAAGTTATACTATTAAATAGTTGAGAGTTGTATATTAGCGAGATTGTAGATAATAATTCTAAAATGTGGTGAAACTGATTTATCACTCACGTCTATTATGGACCACAATTTTTTTAAAAAAATCAAAATTTAAAATTGAAT